GAAGGGCAGGCACACCCTGCGCTGGGGCACACCTCAGCCAGGCGGAAGCTGAGCCAACATTTCACGTACTGTAGCCTTAGGGGCAATATTTTTTCTTCCCAGCTCTGTGTATACCCTTTCTCTGAGCTCCTGATCCTCAGCTCGCACGCGCCTGTGTCGCTCAGCGTGAGGACGGGGAGGTAGGTAGCGCAACACCAGCGAAGCGGCAGGAGCAAAGGTCCGGAGTCGTCTGATGTGGTCTGCTGAGCCCCTGTCTGTATGGGAGAGGACGTGATTTTGGGGTCATTTCAGTAAAGTAAATGGAAAAGGCTCGATGCAAGTTCTTCTGAGGAGGCAAAGCTGTGCTTTAGCTGAAATGCAGCGTGTGAGCGGTGCCTGGGAGCGCTGGGGGGGGTGGTGGTGGCTGCGTGTGCAAGCTGCTGAGCTGCACTCCCAGCTGCATTCGCTGAACGGTTGCCAGTTTAAACGGATCCGTTCAAATTTTGTTACTTTGCTGGCACAGTAAAAAAAATAAACTTGTGATACTGTTTCCACTAAGACTCATGTAAAGCACAATGACCACTGGAATGTGTCAAGTGCAAGAGAGCTCGGAATTGGGTCCGAAGGAGGGGAGAAGGGCTCCTCATCACCTGGGCTTGCAACTAAGTACCCAAACGAGAATTATGTTTCTTAAAGTAATTTGACTCTCTTACTGCTTTCAAAGCTGGTGAGTTCACACGGTTGCATTTTGTAGGTAACTCTCAAGCACATCTTAGGTGATTTTGTGTCTTGAGGAATTCCAGTGCTGCAGACAGGAGAGGGGCTGCGTGACCGGGTCTGCCTGTGAAGCCCAGTCGCTGCACTCGAGGTTGCCTTCAGGCTGAAGTCTGCGATGTGAATACACAGTGTGATTGTAACTCGCATCCCGAATCAGGCTTTAAATGATCAAGTTGAGGTACCAACAGGGGCACTGCCTTGTCATTGCGGTGCTGAGCGCGATATGCAAAACCTGTCTGAGAGTGTGGGCAGACGTTCGGGTGTATCACCCGGTGCCGCGCTCTGGAAGGGAGCTGGTTTCAGGCTGACCTGGTGATGTCCTGGTGGTGGCCCCAGGAGGGTTAGCTACAGATGGGCTTTCGCTGGCTGGTCACCTGCAGAGCAGCTGGTTCATGCCGCCGTCATCCTTGTCCGAAGTGATTTATGTCTGTGGCCGTGCGCCCTGTCTAGGAGCTGTCGTGAGTTATCCGGTAACTGGGTGTGTGTGTCTGGAGATCCCTGAATCACTCCCTCTATCATTACTACACCCACAGGCACCTTCTCTCCCAGGTGAGGCAGCTGCCGGTTAAAAGCCGAGAGAGGAGAGAGCCAGCGCTCAGAGGGCTCTTGCGGTTGCAGATCGGCTGCCGGGTGGCACGGGGGGAGAGAGCCCTCGCTGCGAGCCGGGGACACGTGGGGACCGGGAAGGCGCTCCTGCTCAGGCAGGGAAGAGGGCAGGTGAGGCTTCTGGCTGCTCTGCCCCCACCCAGCTCTCCTGCAGGGCTTCCCCGCAGAGACCCTGCGAGAGATCCTTATTCTGCAGCGATTTTTACGGGTTTCTTCTTTTCATAGAACAAGACGTTGGGCCGTGGTGTGCGCTGGCGAGTTTTGGTCTGGAATCGGTTCTGGAAACGCAGGGCGAAGGGTGGGGCTGGAGAACACAAAGTGCAGCCTGCCCGGGAAGAGGTGTCTGGGGGGTGCAGGGGGGTGCACACTCATTAGGGTGTCTTTTCTAGCCGTGCATTGCGACCTGGCATCGGCGGTGCTGGGGGCTGCGGCTTCTCCATGTCCCTAGGGAGCCGGGCAGTCAGAAGTTGCAGCTCTGTGCCATGCTGGTACCTGTGGTTCACCTCAGCAATAACATAAAGATCCAAAGATAGTGGTTGGTGAAGAGGGCAATCTCTTACACAGTTTAGGAGAATCTTGTGCACGCTTCATGAGTTAGATGAAAAGCTGGGATTGTTTGTACCTTAAAAACAAATACAACCTGAGCATCTGATCTTCCTCTTTGCCATTCTTGAGTTTTAGCCCCTGTTATTCTCTTGTAGATCAATTAAAATTATCTCCCTGTAAACTGAGGAGTGTGAAAGACCTGGACTGAGCTTTAGACTGGCATTTTCTGCTCATTTTCACTCATGCTGCAAACTCTTCCCTAGGCGTGTCCGTGGCAGTATGGAGTCTCGCTGCTGGTTTTGGCTGTGGGCATTATTTGCCCTCCTGGGTAAGGCTCACCGTACGGTGTTTCTAAAGGGTATGGGGGGAGCTGACTAAATAGAAGTGCTGCTAATGTAAGCTTTGTGTTAGAGCAGTGTTGTGGCAGCAGCTGGGAGACCGGCAGTTGGTAATAGTGCTGGTGTCTGGCAAAAGGCTGCTCTCCGTCCTGAGCAGCCGGCTATAGGGGTGGCCATACAGGTAAACAGGGGACACCAAACGGCTGTTCAGTGTGATGGGCAAGGAACTGAGCGTCCCTGCAGCCCAAACACCGGGGTCATGGCAAAGAAGAGTTCCAGAAATAAGTGTTAGTACAAAGCACTTTAAAAGGGCCTTTTTTTTAATTAAAAAAAGGTAATTTGAGGTAAAATACTGTTGTCCTTTTTGGCATGTGCATTTTGTAGGTTTGTCCCAAGCACGACCCTGTAGTTGTTCTGTTGCAGAAAACAGCAGACATGCTGGCTGAGGTCTGTGTGCCCCCAAACACGACCCCAAGTCCTGTTTTCTTGCTGTTCCAGCTGCCCCGCGGCTCCTGAATGCCCAGCAAACCTGCTCCCACGGAGCCTGCTACCCCCCCGCCGGAGACCTCCTGCTGGGGCGAGCCCATCTCCTGAGAGCCTCCTCCACCTGCGGCCTCACCAAGCCCGAGACGTACTGCACGCCCCATGGAGAGGTACGTTCACCTCCTAATCCGCACGCAGAGATGCTAATGCCTTTACCCATCCTACCCTTCCTACCCTTTTGCAGGGAGGGTATTGCAGGTACTTATCCCTCTGCCGATTGTGTTGGGCCGTTGCACCATCTGTGGTGTCCCCTTGAGCCCTCCTCTTCCAGCCCCATGGGTGAGAAGAGGAGCTGAGCACGAACGTGGTGGCAGGGAAAGGGCAGCAAAGCTCTGGCGTGAAGCACTGGAGGCAAAATGGAAGCTTTCGCATCCAAAATAGCCCAAGCCTTCCTATCCCCAGAGTTTTTAGTTATAAGGAAACCTCATATTTCACTTGTCAAAAACGGGAATATTTCAGGTCTTTCACAAAGACTTGGAAGAGCTTCTGAACCGAAAACTGTTTTCAATTACACTGGTTGTGCGGGGGCAGGAGGTTGTGCTCGGGAGGATAACGTTTCAGCCATCTGCAGATTCCCAGGCTCCAAAGCTGCCACCAAATCGGAGTAAGAGTTTAAGGATAAGTCTGCCTGAGCACAGAGATGAAAACCTACAGGGTGATGTCCCTGACGTGAGCACATCCTAAAGCCTTTCTCTGTCGGTCTAGGAATGTTAACTCTGTAACTGCTGCGGGAGGAGCTCAAAAGGGAGCGGGTTTTGCAGGACAGGCAAAAAGGGTCTTGGAAGCGATGCTCAAGAGGAAAGGAAATGGCAGACCTCCAGTGAGGCAGTGTTCTCTGACATCCAGCTTGAGCGAGCCAGCCTTCTTCTGGTTTTAATTCCGCTTCGAGATGAAGGCCAAGATGTGGCAGTAAGTGGATTTGTTGCGGAGCCGGTGGCTTTCTCAGGGATGGCTGGGGGCTGTTGGTTGGTTGTTGGAAGCTGAGGCAGCTCCCTGGCCCTGATGGGTGTGAGAATCTCGTCCTCCTGCAGTATCTGTCCTTGGTCAGGTTGTTCTCCGGGCTGACAGTTGCGGTCAGGCATTTCCTCCATTCAGGCTCCCACGCACTTTTTTGGAGCTGTTTTGCTGCTCCCAAGGAGCAGGGCTGTTCGCTCGCCTCCCCAGCAACCCCCCGCTGCTCCTCACGGGTGCTGTGACCCATGGACAGGAAAAAAGCACACAATTATTTCTGCTCTGACTTCATTTTTTTTTTTCTTCCCAATTTCTGTTTATACTTGAGGAAAATTGTATATAAATGTACCTCTGAAATCTTCGCTTAACATTGCCTTTTGACAGTGAGTTTTACTTGAAGAGGGGGCTTGTACTATAGGAAGCGAGCGCCTGCAAGACCTTAAGTGGTCATCTTAATACCAGCTGGAGTGGGCTAGTTATTCCCCTTGCCTGACCTTGAGAGATCACTTGAAGAGCCTTCAGTTGTGATCATCTGCATTGTTTGTAATCTTTGAAGTGGGGACTGGGCATCGCTCTGATGGCTGTGACGTACCTCGAGCAGAAATGATCCGTTTGGTGCAGAATGAGTGAGGTCTCATGGAGGTACTGTGGAGGAAGGCAGAGGGCACGACTGCAGCAGTCTCTTCTAGTCTTCAAGTCCCTAAACTATTCAGTTTTTATGTTCCTTATACCTTGCCTTACATGTACTAAGGTTAAAAGGGATATGGAACAATTAACAGTGATACGTTAAGTTGGATTCTCCAGTTCTAGCTTTGGGAAGGGGGTCTTTGCTTCCTTACGTATATGTGCAAAAATTAATCCCCTGAACTCCATTGTCCAATTCCCATCCCGTAAAAAGAAAGCACATTTAATTTATTGACTCTTATGACTTTTTTTGTGACAAGTCTTGCTCTCGTTTTATTGCCAAATAGGTGCAGATTTGGATTCTGTTTTGCAATCTCGGCAGAGGGCACGGGATGAGGGGTTGCTGTCGCTGGCTGCTGGTGGCCTTGTGCCAGCTGGCAGGCACGTGCTGTCTGGCCCCGCCACCAGCCCACTCTGGCCCCAGAGTCCTCTTTTGTAATTCTGTGGGTCACTTGAATTCAGCCTCTGCTCTGACTCTGCATCCCTCTAACCTTTATACTTTGCACGGCTGATTGCTCCATTCCTTGGCTGGAGGCTCAGTCTAGTGGAATCCAGGAGGGACGCTCGGCATTGCCATTTATAGCGCCGGGGACTGCAGCGGTGATTAGAAAAGTGATGGGGGTGGAAAGCAGGCAGAGCAATCGTCTGGTTTGGAAATCACTTCGGGCTTGGGAAATGGCTGTTCGAGTCAGCAGGGAAAGTAAAAGCAAGAGGGAAACTGAAAATAGAAAAATAAGTGAGCCTGGAGTTGGAGTCGTAAAGGCACTGATGTGTGTGGAAAGACTCTCCTTGACCGAGGTGTGATTCAAGGCCCCGTTAACTCATCGCTTTATTTAAATGCTGAGCATAGCGCTTTGACAGGAGTATGGAGCAGCTCACGCTGCCTGGCTCTAGCCGAGGGAAGGCACGGCGTGGCTGTCATGCAGATTAGCAGGTTCCCGGTCCCCTCGCCTGGCCTGGCCCTTCTGAGTGACAGCGTGAGGGCTGCGCACGCCTTCGGCTCTTTGCTTGGCCGCTGGAAGCAGCCGTGCCTGTGCCGTGTTCGCACCCAGCAAGGTTAACGCTTCTCTGGAGGGAGAGCTTTGCTTTCCTCTGGGCTCCTGCAATGCTTTCAGCTTAGAGGCATGTTCAGAACTAGAAAACAGCTACAGACTTGTTTTATTGGTTCACAGGAGTGCCCCGAACACCCTGCACGGTGCTGTGAAGTCTTTTGCCAAGGAAGAGGCAAGAGAGGAGCAAAGCTGGGTGTCCTTGTGCCTGCGTTGCTGCTGTTTCCTGCATCCTGCAGGGGAGCAGTTTGTGTGCGCGGCCACTACGTGGGTCCTCACGCCACGACCCTCGGAGGCTTTGGATGTTAAGGTGTTGTTTGCATAAGGTCGAGGACCAAGGTTTTCTGCCTTTTCTCACCTGCTTTTCATGGGCACTTGGTGGATATGAGGACGAAGGGTAGGAAGTCACCTTTATCACCCCTTGTGTCATGGTGACATGGGGTCATCCAGGTAGGAGTTGAGAGATACCAGAGAAGCCTGATCCCTAAATGAGTTAGTGCGAGGGGAGTTGAGCCCGTTGGGCAGGAGAGCTCCTGGCATGGGAGAGGATTCCTCCTCCTGCTGACGGATGGTCGCAGCTGCCTGGCAGGGGTTGGTCTGCAGCATCTCTCCCTGTGGTGTCTCAGCCGAGTCTTCGGCTGCTTCCAAAAATACAGACCAATGTCTGCAGAAGAGAATATGTGCAAGACTAATGCTTCTGTCTGCCTTCTCGCTGCCGTCTGATGGTTACACCTGCTTGTCCTCCTGCATGAGTCAGTCAGGGAGCTTGATGCTGATCCAAAACATGCTGCCTGCCGGGTGCTTCAGCAGGCCCTAGGCATGTTGGAGCAGGGGAGAGCACGCTGAAAAGCCACTGTGCCTCCCAGCTCGTTTACTTTCCAGACCCACGTCATCAGTCAAACTCATTTTTTTACACAGAAAAACGCATCCGCAAAATCGTGAAATAACTGTGGTCAGATGGGATGGCAGGAGGTCCAACCCCCTGCTCAAAGCAGGGCTCCTAGTTTTGGTGTTGCTTCGTCACGTCAGGGTTTTGCACCAAATAATTCATATTCCTGACCTGCTGAAGGTAATACAGCAACCACGAGTTGCTGCTGGGTGCTTATCTCATCTTACTCCGGCATTCAGACACACCCTGCTCTCTGCTGCAGGGATATGTCCTTACCTGCAGTGAATGTACTGAAGAAAAAGCCCATTTCCCATTATTTTTCCCTCCTTCTCCTCCCTTCTCTGTATCTTTTTTTTGCCACATGACTGCAAATTGACACATATGCTGGGAGACATCACGTCATTCCCTCGCAGACAAGTTGCAGAGGCAACAGGACCCCGGCAATGCGTGCGGGGTGTGGAGATAAGCTGGTGCGGTACGGGCTTTGCAGACTGTCATCCTGGCAGATTTTAAATGAAGTTTTGCTGAGGGGGGGACGATGTGAGAACAGACGGGGTGAGGAAAACAGGCACCCACGTTCTTGCTTTTAAGCAGGAGAAATGAACTTCCTTAAACCCCGTACCCAGGATGTTTGTCCGGCTTGTGTCTTCTCCCCGTCTCTGCTGCTGCCTCTGAATTTGGGAGTCACCGGTAAAACCAAGCTGGGGCTCAGAGTCCTCTCTTTGTGTTTTGAGTGTAACCTCGGAGCTCGTTTGCCAGTGTCACTTCTGACCAGCCAAGCAGGGATGTTATGGCTAAGGGTTTTTGTGTTTCAAAATCTGAAGCACAGTCCAGTTCACCAGTTGCTCACTGAGAAGTTTAACCATGATGACATAATCATGGGTAACTTGTGCCGCCTTTTCCCTTGGTAAATGCATAGAGGCCTTCACAGGCAAGACAAGCCCTGCTCTGCGAGCCTGGCGTAGCAGTGTCCTGCAGCCGGTGATAATAGGGAATAAAAATGGGTTGGAATCGAGAATTGTGTAACTTGGCTTTAACGGGTGCCTTTGCCCACCTATTCTTGCTGCCCACCCTATTTTTTAATAACCCTCAATCTCTCTGTATACATATAAATCCCCACTGCTTTCCAGATCGTCCCCAGACAAACGTGGAACAATAGTTACTGTCCGTATACGATATTATTTGTGCAAGACCACAGAAGGCTCCCATATGGGAGGCTGCATGCCAGGAGCCCAACTGACACAGTGCCTCTCACTGACACGGAGCTGGGTTACATGCAGGACCACCAAGGTCTCTGCAGCTATGAAAGGTCTTAATTTCATGACTGGAGAGCAGCAGCTTCCCATTTCTGCTGATGAATAGCTTCAGTTTATTTTGGGTTCTGCACCTTTGCCAGGAGGTTTTATTTCAAGGGCGCTCTGCTCATATTAAAATGGCAGCTAGAGCTACTTAAAATACTTTGGTCTGAGTCCATCAGCTTAAAATTGTTTGTGGTTTTCTGCCCCTACCTGAGCGGGGAAACATGGGAGGCTGGTCAGCAACTGGTTCACAAGGTCAGAGCAGGAGGAGAGCAGCAAAATCCCGCAGCAGAGCTGTGGAGAGCGCCCGGGCGAGGGCTGGGTCTGCACCCGTGTCCCTGCACGCACTGCACAGCAGTGTCCCGGGTGTGCCATGTAGTATGTAGGCAGTTTTTACAATACCTGGTTGTTCTTCTACGTAGTGGTTTTCTTCTTTTCTTTTCTTTCCCCCACTTATTTCTAAGACATGTATCTGTTTATTCTCAGCATGGTACCTTTCCCACCGAGTGCCTTGTGAATGCCCTTCCAAAAGGCTGGAATGAATTTCCTTTAATCTCTGAACCTCCACAACCTGTATTTTGGATGACTCTTAAGAGTAGCTTGGAGGCACAGAGGTTGATTAGTGGTTTCCATGCAGACCTACAACTTCTTTGACCTTCCTACAGGCATTTTCGGCCCCACATCCCGTACCTGCTCAAACACCTCCCGATTCTCTGTGGCTGCAGTAGCACATGGGCTGGGGCCTTCGGTGCCTGGCGGGGAGGGGACAGCGTGCCAGAGAGCCAGGGCTGCCCTGGGGGTCGGTGACTCAGCTTAGACCGTGACCTCTTCACTTCCATTTGTCACGTAGTCCCGGTCTATTCCTGGCAAGCCCAGCTCCGAGAGGATCTGCTGAGCCTGCTGCTATGCTGGTAAAAAAATTAGGGGAGAGCTGGGGAAAGGTGTGCGCTTGGTGAATCCCCCCTCAGCCTGGCGCTGGGCTGTCGTTTCTGGTCAGTCCCTCTGTCCCAAGGAACTTTGAGACACATAGTCACAGTCAGTAATAGCAAATCCTGTTACGCAATAGAGGGGTTTCACAATTTGCTCCAAGGACATGAAATGAATTTTGCATTCGCTGTTAATTTTAGCCTTAATTACAAAGCTGGGGGGAAAAAAAAAAAAAAAAAAGAAAAAAAATAGGAGATTTTTGCCCCAAGCACAGCTCCTGGGCTGGGGGAGGGTCTGTCTCACACAGTTTAAGCTTCATTTTTACTTAGTGCTGCATTTTGAGAGTGGTTGCAGCTTCATTGCCAACAGTGCATTGTGGCTACTGGAAGGCACTTGTGTCTCTGGCTGTGTGAATGGTCTAGTAACTATGCGTGAATCAGTCCTAATGAATAATTTAGCTGAGATTAACCTTTCCCCTTGCTGAAAGCCTTCCTTCTCCCTTTGCTAATCACAGTCAGAACTGTTGTGAGGTTTAATCATTGTTGGGAATTGTTGGCTACGTTATTTCTGTGGGTAATTCCGGTAGCTTCCTGACAATTTGCTGCTAGTAGTCATTATCTGAAATGAGTTCTTCTGCCTGGACCCGATTATATTATTTCTGATTCTTACTGGCAGAGCCAGGAGGAGTTGGTTAGAGCCAGGGAAATTGCATGATTATATATTTTGAATTCTTTGTTTGCTTACTCTGCAATATTGTTATAAATATTGTAGTTAGCCAACTCCTGTTCTGGGATATTTATAGACAGAGAACATAAAGACTGTGGAAAATATTATGGAAATGGATCAGTTTAAGTGAGGAGCTCTCCTCAATATCTGCCCAACTGCTGAAAGGTTCCCAGGCCAGAGCAGAGTCAGGTCTGGGCTGTGTTAGGAACTAAAACCAACCCGCGGCCTGAGCTCACATCTGTCCGCTGCTGCCCGGCCACCTCGCTGTGTGCCGTCCGCTCCCGGGGCGTCAGGGAGAACTGCCGGGCAGCTCTGCATCTGGTGGGGTACCAGTTAGTGCTTGCTGGTCAAGGCCAGCCTATGTGTGGGTTTGTGAGAGAGCGAGCAACAAGGTAATTCTGGACAAAATTTTCCATTAATTTTTCCTTATATTTTAAAAAAAAAAGTTAGTTTTTAGGAAGCCAAGTCCATTTTTGTAGAAATAAGAGACTTGGCTGGCTTAGAGAAGCCCCTTTCAGGAGTCAGGCAATACGTGTAAACTGTGAATTCATCTTTTAAAGGGGAAACCAGAAATCTTCAGTCCACTGTTGGCCCACTGGCCTCCACCTCCTGCTGCCTCTCCGAGGCACAGATCTCTACCGACCCCAGCACGGGTGTGGGATCAGGCTTAGTGTCCAGGCTGGAATTGGCTCGTTTGTTTTAAGTATCAGGAGGGGAGATTTTAGCACAGAGGTGGATATAAAGTGCTTCTTGTCCCTTGTCACCCAATGTCCAGTCTCCCCCACTGAAAGCCAGTCTCATCACCGGGGTCCTGAACATGCCAGTGCCTCTGGGGTCACCTTGTGCCACCCCAGCGATTGCCAGCTCCCGCAGCGGGGTATCTCGTTGCCTTCCCGGTGTCCGCTGTCAGGGCTTGTGCCAAACACAGTCCCCTCTTCTCCCCCAAACCCGCTTTCCTCCCAGGACGACCTTTCTGAGCCGTCCTGCCCTGTGCCACCAAGGCCGGCACCTGCTATCGCTGGCAAACACTGTTCTCGATTTTCCCCAATTTCTCAGGCTTTGGGGCGTGTTGCTGTGAAGCGCGTGTCCCGCTGCTCTGCTTGGGAGGCTGCTTTACTGCTCAGGCCACCGACAGCTTCCATTTCTAGATGAAATGTTTCGTGTCACTTTTGCTTTTGGGACAGCGTTATCCCATAGCTCGTACAGCTCTGCCCACCTCTGCACAGCCCCAGGACCCTCTCCGGAGTGTGGGATCTGCTCTTCCTCTCCATTTCACCAGGCTGGAGATGCCGAGTGCTTTGTTTCATACCCTGAATACCAGCTTTCCCCTCCTGCTGGCCTCTGCAGCCCTTGCATTCGCTCCACTCCGAGCGTGGCCGCTACCGAGGGATGCCACTGCGGGACCTGCCCTGCCCCACCATGGCCTCACCTGGGTGTCTCCCCCCGTTTCGTGCTGGTTCTCACCCAGCCTGCTTGCCCTCTCCCCTTGGCCAGTGTCTGGACCTTCCCCGCTCCCCATCTCTTGCTCAATCGCTTTCCTGCTGCTTTCTGCACATTTCTGAGCCTGCTCGTGGGCTGCGCGCACCCGACAGCCCATGGTAGCGGCTGCGTGGAGCGTCGCTTGGTTAGTCAAAATTTGGGTATTTGTTTAGTCCTTGGGGACCCTGTTTTCTCCCATCGCCACGTTCCCTTTGCCACGTCTCTGTTTGCTCCTTGAATTACTTGCTCGAGTGAAGGGCTGAACTTTGAGCCACTCGACTTCCCACCCACTGACTTCTCCCCCACTGAGCTGTTTGCTCCCGCTCTGCTCCCAGGGGAGAGCGCAGGGGAGTGAGCATCGCCCAGGGCTTTTAGGTGGGAGAGAAAGGCCTTTCTGTTCACCCAAACAAACAGCCCCCTTGGCTGTGTGGAAAAGGCAAACTGGACCTGAAGAGCTGCAAAGGGCTTTCTATCAGGTGTTGTCAGTGTGGAAAACAGGGGGTTTGCTTAAAAAAAGGCGTTTTTGATGGTTTGCCAAAAATGTGTTTTAGTTGAAAGCATTTTGGTTCTAGATTCTTAGTCCGTAACGCCATGAATTGTGTTTTTTAACGGGGTGTGAAGGAGACCACTTGAGGCCTGTGTATCGTTAGCCTTGTTCATCGGGGTTCTTCAGGTCTCTAATAAACCAGCTTTACTGATGCCACTTGTTCCTCGGTGAGTCCACGCTGCAGTTGGGCCTCTCACCTCCGGGGCCTGCAGACCCCTCTCCAGGGTCTCTCCCTCCGGCCGAGCCGGGACGGTCACTTCCACCCGCCCTTTCTCTTCCAGTGGAGCATGAGATGCTGCCGGTGCGACTCGCGGCTGCCGCACGCCTACAACGACCACCGCGTGGAGAACGTCCTGTCCTCCGCTGGGCACTCGCGCTGGTGGCAGTCCCAGAACGGTGAGTGCCCGCAGCTCCGGGTCCCCAACAATAAACAGCATGAGGAGAAGAGGAGGAGGTGTTGAATTTGATAGACTGGAAGGAAAGGAGGAAATAAATGACTTGGCTCAGGCAGCGAAGCAGTTTGTTTTCCCGAAGTCCGCAGTCTGCGCCTCTGAAGCTGCCTCTCTGTGCCTGCAGGCATCGAGCGCGTCTCTCTGCAGCTGGACCTGGACCAGACGTTCCAGCTCAGCAGCATCTTGCTTCACTTCAGGGTTTGTGTGCAGCGTCTCTGCTCACGAGGGGGACACGGATGATGGTGGAAGGGCCCCGCTGGCTCTCTGCGGGACGTGGGAATCTCAGTGCGCAGCTCCCTTTGGGGTCCTGATAGGAAGCACGCCGGGGTCCCTCTGTTTTCCCTGTTTGCATGGCCATTCCCCTGGGCGTTTGGAGGAGCAGAGCAGGGTGGTGGGTTCCCGTCCCATGACTGTCTGCTGAAACACCTCCTTGGTGCAGATGTGTACTTTGTGGCTGCAGCAGGGCTGGCTGAGGGGAGAGGGGGGGACCTAGAAGTTGTTGATAACCCAGCAGCCTGCAGAGACCTGAGCCTGGAGGGAGGAGGAGGAGGAGGACAGGCATCCCCGGGGCAGGAGCCAGCGGGGGGGCACTGTGTAACAGCTGTGCCTCTTTCCCCGCTCTGCAGTCGCCGCTGCCCGCTGCGATGCTGATTGAGCGCTCCACCGACTTCGGCAAGACCTGGGAGGTGTACCAGTACCTGGCCTCCGACTGCGCCGCCGCCTTCCCCCACGTCCCCCGGGGCTCTCCCGAGAGCTGGCAGGACGCTCGGTGCCAGGCGCTGCAGGGGCACCCTTTGCACGGGGGCAAGGTAGGATTTGTGGGGTTTTGTGGCAGGGGGACCCTGGGTTCAGGGCGGGTGTCCCGTGCAATGCTGCAGAAACACGTGGTGGCCTGGCCCTCCATTACACGTATCACGCCTGGCGAGGGATGGAGCCCGTGGACATCCAGCACTGCTGTGGGGGGTCTTTGGGAGGACTGCTGCTCCTCTGGGAGGAAAGCCCTTGCTGCTTTGTGACAAGCAGGTGTTATGTTGGTCTTCCTGCAAAATCCTCTGCAACTCTGAAGTCTTTTCCCTGTGTGAAGTGACGTTACGCAGAGGCAGGTCCAGAGCACACGCTGCCCAGAGCATGAGAAGAAAGCACCTTCTGTTTTCTGCTTTTCAACTTACTGGGTTTTTTTCCTGCTAAGGTGAAATTCAGTGTCCAAGACCTGGCATCTACCATCATGACCTCTTACAGCCAGAGCATCGATAGTAAGTGACTGGCCTCTTTCATATCTGAGAAAGGGAGAGGGGGATGATGCACCTCGTGGTTCTTCCTGCATGCGATGGAGAGCACTGAGCTGGGGTAACCCTGCAGGGGAGCAGGTCCTCAGCAAACAAGGCCTCGAGCTGCCTGTTAGACTGCTGCCCTGGTGCCTCCGAGGTGTCAAAGAGCAGCGTTTGGTCTTGGCTGGTGACTCAGCTCCTGCTCTTTGTGCCGATGCCTCTGTCTCTTGCTCCGAGCCCTCCACGCAAATTGCAGTGCACTTCTGCAGCCAGTGCCTGGGCGCCTGCTGCCCCCTCACACCTCTCCTCGGTCCCCAACAGAGCTGGGGCAGTTCACCAACCTGCGGATCAACTTCACCGGGCTCCCCCACATTGCGCGCCAGGGCTACCACTCGCCCAGCACCTTCTACGCCGTGACGGAGATGCGGGTTCTGGGGAGCTGTTTCTGCCACGGCCATGCCGACCGCTGTGCCCCTTCGGGAGACCCGCACGCCGCGGTGAGTGTTGGGGTGAAGTGAAAAGCCTAAAGACAAACTCTGTGGTATCGGGCTCCACCAAGCCTGACCCAAATGCTCCTTGGGAGACCTTGACCAGTATGACCAGTGGTGGAGAGTGTGAGACTTTCCCCTGGCCGGAGGCTGCTCGTAATTGGGGGAAACGATGCCCCGTTTTTTCTGCAGCGATGGAGTGGTGGCTGTGAGACAGCAGCCTGTGCTACGCCCTGTTTGTGTCTGCAAGAATGTGGAGGGGCTTTTGTATGTAATTTCATAATTGAATTATGAAGCTCAGTGGCTGTGGGGGGTTGTGCTTTGGGGGGAACTGCTCCTTCCAGCACTGGGTCTCTTGGCTGGGTGGGGGACATGCAGAAAGTTTCAGCAGGCTCCTTCGTGTCCAAGAGGATTTGCTAGTGCAGGTTTTTAGCTGTTAGGGGATTTTCTTGTCTCCAGCTTATGCTTGGCTGCTTTGCCTTGAGCGTGGTTGTCCTCAGGTAGGTGGCAGAGGTGGTGGGAATTGTCACTGTGCGTGAGGAGCAGCCTGTCCCAGTGCTGCAGCAGCCCCGTCTGCCCCCTTCTGCGCAGGGGATGGGGGCTGCGCGGGGCAGGAGCAGGCTGGGCCCGTGCTGGAGAGGTGTCGGGAGGATGAAGCTGTGAACCGAGCAGCTACCACCCAGGAGGGGTAAAGTGTTGTCTCTGCAGCAGGTCCACGGGCACTGCGTGTGTCAGCACAACACCGCCGGCCCCAACTGCGATCGCTGCGCCGCCCTCTACAACGACCGGCCGTGGGCGCCCGCGGAGGACGACAATCCCCACGAGTGCCAGAGTACGGCGAGTGCCTTTCTCCTCTCCTCTTCCTGAGGCCTTTCTGAAATCCTCCGTGCCACGAGTGGCGGGAGCGGGAGCGAGCTCCGACACCTTTAAAAAAATGGGGGCGTGGGGAGCGAGCTCCGACCCCTTTCACTGGGACTGGATGTTAACGTGGGTGTCTCTGCGAAAGGCCCCCCGACGTTTGCACGCTGGGCTTTGCTCTGTGGGGCTGCGGCGGGCGATGCCAGCTCATGGGCTGCACCAGTGCTCGGCCATGCTGCCCAGTGGTGCCAGCTTGGTCCTGGAGCGGTTAGCGGGTGTCACCGTGTCACGGAGGGGACTTGGGCACCCTCTAGTGCCAGAGCTGCTGCTGCCGGAGGGGTTTGCATGGTTGCAGCGCTAGCACAGCCGTGGTTTGTTGGGGTTTTTCTAATTTTTTTTTTTTTTTTAGAATGCAACTGCAACGGTCACTCAGCCTCATGCCACTTCGACCCGGAGCTGTACCGCGCCAGCGGAGGGGTGAGCGGGGGTGTCTGTGACAACTGCCAGCACAACACCGAAGGCAACAGCTGCGAGCGCTGCAAAACGAACTATTTTCGCAACCAGCGGCAAGATCTCGCCCATCCCGAAGTCTGTCTGCGTGAGTGCCTGGTTACACCCGGGTAGCACCTTCCCTGGACCCCCCCATCTGCCCCTCGTGCCCCTCAGCAGTGCCACTTCTTGCACATTTCCAGCCTGCGAGTGCGACCCAGACGGCACCGTGCCGGGCTCCATCTGCGACCCGCTGACGGGGCGCTGCGTCTGCAAGGAGAACGTGCAGGGGGACCGCTGCCACCTCTGCAAGCCGGGGTTTGCCCAGCTGGCCAACGCCAACCCCACGGGCTGCCGCAGTGAGTACTCCCCGAGACATCCCCTGCTTCCCAGGGTGCTCCCACCCCACCTCTGTGCTCAGCATCCCCAGGGGCTCTGAAAGGGACCCGGTTTCTAGCCAGCTTTGATTTGGGGTTTCCAAGCCAAAGGCTGATTTTGCAAAGGTTTGCAAAACCTCCTTGCTCAGGCTGTGGCCTGTCTTGGGAACAAATGTGGTACAAAGCACAGAGAAAGTGGAGTTTGGGGAGCGTGTAGGGCTGTATCCCCTTCCCGAGTGCCTCCCCGGGTGTGCAGGGCTCAGGAAGCTGCAGGGGATGCCAGAGGCGATGCTGTGCGGGCCAGCGGGGCTGAGGGCAGCTGCGGCTCAGGTCAGCGTCATGTGTGCGGCTGGGCTGGAGGGGTGCTGGGGGATGCTGAGGCTGGAGGGCATCATCCCTCATGCGGCTGGGGTGGGGGGGGGCTGAGGGATGCTGAGGCTGGAGGGCATCATCCCTCATGCCGGTGGGCTGGAGGGGTGCTGAGGGGTGCTGAGGCCTCTTGCGCTGCCCAGTCCTGCTGCAGCGCAGTGATAGAGCAGGGGTGCGGGTCCCTTGTGCTGAGCTCGGGTGTGAAGGGAGAGACAGGAGAGCTCGTCTTTGGGTGGCTGCAAGGTCCTTCTGTGGACGTGGCTTCGTGGGAAGCTGGGCTGGTGCTCTGCACCCGTTTTTAATATGGCAAAACCCTCCCCATTTCAGGATGCGCCTGCAATGTGCTGGGAACGCGGCAGGACATGCCCTGTGACGACGAGACGGGGCAGTGCTTCTGCTTGCCCAACGTGGTGGGGAACGACTGTGACCAGTGTGCGGCCGAGCACTGGGAGATGGGCAGCGGCCAGGGCTGCCGGCCCTGCG